TAAAATTTAGGCTGTCACAATTACTTGATAAACTTACCATGCACATGACAAGACTAACCAATTTCTAATTTGTCTGCTTATCTCTCATAATAAGAAACAGAGCATGATGGACACACCCACTTAAATGCACTCCTATATAGTGTTTCTATATATTCACCTATTTTATAATGAAGTCTGTACAGGATTCCTCCTTTACCTGTTTATAATAAAGTATTTCAAAACCATTGAAAAGCTATGCATGGTTTGCTATTGTGTACTTAAGTTAATTTGTACTGTCTGGCCTGATTTCCAATGCTAATCACCCAATTAATCATCAAAATAATCAATAGGTTACTCAATTACTAATATAACCAATTGTGACAGCCTTAATTTGTTTTTGAGCCATGAGGGGAAAACCTGAAGACTGACAGTCAAGCCTTCATTCTTAGCATTCCAAGGAACAAACTTAACTACAAATTCCACAGTAAACCTACCACCATCACCAACCATAGTTTCAATACAGCAGGTAGATGAACGTTATGCAAGTCCAAACCTGCTTACCTTTCAAATGTGCAAACCAGCTGACCATTCCAACATAGAACAAAAGGTCTAAAGACTAAGAGGGTGCAATAAGAGTTAAATGTTAACAGAGCTTCAGTTAAAAGAAAAAAAAAATAAAAATAAAAATCATCTGAGTGCATGAGGTCTGGGCATCTGTTCAGTGGAGACAGATTTCAGTCAATCACATGAAAGGGTGCGACTGTCTCAGGTAAACTGACATTTCAACTCCTTTTTCATGGCGCTGGCTGCCTGCTGGGACCCAGAGGTTTGGCTACGCCAGTCGGTCTGTCAGCCAGTTTCAAATGTCAGCCTACTATCAAGGTGTCAACATCTACCACAGCTTGCCATTCTGAAAAGTGCCACTTCTATCATTTGTCACTTTTTGTTGACACTTCTTGTCTGCCGCTCATCTCGAACTGAACACTCAGATTTAGGCTTTGCTTCTGAACGATGGTTCGCTTTATTCCACTGCCTGAATTTACAGACAACTGACATTCTGCATGGTTAAAAAGGACGGGGCTATTAGCAAAAATGACGTCCACATGTTAATTTAGCTGTCAATACAAAGAAAGGCGCCAATCACATTGTAGCTTAGATTATGTGAGACAGAGATGGAGAGAGACAGAGAACAAAGATTAAACACTGCAAATAAACGAGAGAATCAGGTTTTTAGTCTTTTAGAATAAAAGCCATAAACATAACTACATCAGCGTACAAAATCTTTCCGTGCCTAGATAAGTTTTACAAGCTTTAATCAAGCTATACACCGTATAAGTGATGGCTATAAATTCCAATCCAACTAAAAGTAGGAGGAGATATAAATCACAAACAAACAAATACTTAAAGCATGTAAATGTGACAGATTGAAACTAATAAACTCTACCTTATCTGGACATCTGGTGTGGAACTAAGCAAGCAAGTGCACACTGGTGATTCAACAGTCTTGTCGAACCCTGCCCAACTTAGCAGCGCAGGTTCTCTATTTTGCAGAACTTAATAATTTGAGACTTTCATTTCCTTCGTGTTGTATGCCCATTCCTATTTGTGAGCTAGAATACAGAATGAAACTTCTACAGAAAAGGTGCTTCTCTACATTCCCTACTTCCTCTTTCCTGTTTAGATGAGCTACACTCTGTAAAGCCTGACTGGGGTCACTCTAATATTTCCTGAATATCAGCCCATGCTTTAGTGGTTTGCATATCCTGGTCCAAAACGGCACCATCAGGACCTATTCTTAGCCAAGAGAGAAAAAGAAAAAATATCACACTGGACTGGATTAGCATCCCAAGCTCAAGAGGAAACTAGTGTAGACTAAACCTGCTGATTATAAAGTTCGTTGCAGTGGAGGAAGTTAACCTAAACTTTTGAAAAGAGGTAATAACGTTACAGACAGAAAGACTCATGGAACTACTGCTACAGGCTGCAAAAGGCAGAGTTGTTCAAGTACAGTAACATGACTCAAATCACCAAGTTACAACCTCAATGCAAAGTACAGCACGCAGACTAATGCTTATCACGAGTTTTTTTTTCTTCCTGGCATGCTTTAAGCCAGAGATCTAGGTAAGGATCCACAGCCTGTCGCCATGACTTGCATAAACAAATATCTTGTATTACAAACCATGCTATTACGTGCTGAGTGACCTCAATATCGCAACGTCCGGACTTTTGTGGAGTTAATAGCCCACGTAAAAACCAACACATCGAAAACTGGTCTACACTGCTCGTTTTTTGCCTTCAATGCTAGCAAAGACAGGTTAGCTGAACACCGACTCAATACTATTAAAAGAACCGAGGTGGATTATTTGTTAAGGATGTGCGCTACGTAAGGGTGCGGTTGTTTACTGACCCTTCTTAAACAATGAGTTAACTTTCAGTACGTTACCGCACTGACACAGCTTACAAGTTTTGGAGCGACATCCCCACCCAAACTAACTTTAGCTACGGTTAAATAGCGCACAGAGGCGGAGAGGGGAACAAGTAGGTTAAGCTACTCAGCTAACTTGCGCAGTTTAGCTCACTAGGCAACGAAAAGGTTAACGCTAGCTAGGTTAGCTAATTTCATTTCTGCGAAATAAACCAAGTTCAGTTGTGCGCCTCACAACAACTTAAGCCCTAAGACCTGTTAGCTAATTACAAAATAACATTAAGGAAAAGGCTTAACTGCAACTCAAGCTGCGAAGCTGAAGTCAGCTCCATATGCGATTTTTTCTCGTTCCACCTTAAATGGTGCAGCAGCCGCCAGAATGTAACCGCTGCACCATTTAAGGTGGAACGGGAAAAATCGAACAAGAAGCTGGCGAACAGAAAGCCGACTTCAGCCTCACACTCAACTCATGCTGTTGCTGGATATAGCCTCAGACCGGGTGTCCAGCTGGCACTGTCGGAGACTGAACGCTATCTAGCTTTAGCCACGTAACCTAGCTAGTTAATAACTAGCCAGCGAGCTAACATTAACTGGCACATTAAGGCAGCGGTATTAGGCACATATCCCAACGTTCGTTGTTTTTAAAGGATTGCAGCCTTGTCAGAGTCAAATAACTGCGAGGGAGAGAACCTAAGCATATACGTTAACCTGTATGATATTTACTATGGTTTGACATGGTTAGAAAAACGGGGCGAATAGGTTAAAGAGGCCTAACCTGTTAACCACCTTTCTGTGGACGGCAACGCTAGCTAGTTAGCCATTAGCCTGACATTTGGCGCTACTCAGTAAGGCGAAGTCAGCGAAACAGTTAGCCGCCGTGCTACGATTAGCCTGCTCGAGTACAAGCAGCACAGAGCAGGATAACGCTAGCTAGCTAACGTTAGCCTGTCAGACTTGGACTATGCTGTGGCTTTGCAGATAGACATTAAACCGGGGAAAGAGCATGCGGATAAAACGTTTATAGCGTAACGAATTAAGTATACCGTAAGTCCGGTTCCCAGTACGATAACGTCGTATTCTTCATTCATTTTTTTCACGAGTTTAATCCCCTTTTCGTGTACGTCGGCCTGAAGAAAATGGAGATCAGCAGAGCTGGAAATGAAAGAAGGCGGTGTAACGTCAGACAGGTCGGGTGAACGGAGGAGGGAGGAGTCGGCAGATTACGCTCAAGGGCCTCTCCTATTTGAATGGCGACTGACGGACACCAACGCCTTTGCATACAGAGCTAACGTGGCGTGTAGTTTTTAAATTCTGAATATAATCAGACGGATTTATCTTAAGTAATGTTACGCTGGAGGTTTAGGTAACCGTTAGCGATCAGTTAAACGATCAGTCAGTCATGAACAGGATAGCGCTCTCACTACCAGATAAAATAATCAATGGCCACTATCCGCTAACTGACAAAAGACTAGCTTACCGGTTATATTTGGGCGTAAATTTTACTGTCTGTGCTGCTTTTCTTACCGAAGCCGAAAATTAAATGATCAGCATGTGAAGCATTCATTGGGATATAAACAGAGTCATTCAGACTGATTTGATGTGAAACGTAGCATTTTACACATTTAAAAAAGATGGTTTTTCAAGGGTTGTTTAGTAAAGGCTATGGTTCTATTTAGAACCACGAGTTCTATATAGAACAATTTCATGCTTAAATGTATATTGCACGGTTTAACATGGTTTTGGTTCTGTATAGCACTAAAAATGATTCTTTTATTGTTACAAGCTGGACATTGTAACAATAAAATAACCCTTTTTGGTGGTATATAGAACCATTTTTTTTTAAAAAAGGATCTATACAGAACCATATCCAACAGTCTCCATCAATCAAAAGAAACATGTAAGCATGAAATGGTTCTAAATAGAACTGCCTTTACCAAAGTACCATCCTTTTTAAGTGTGTTGAGAAACAGAATTTTTCACAGTGCTTGTGATATGAACTGAAGGGTGTGAAGAGTCTAATGCCTGTAAAACCTTCCTCACAAAATATTAAATGAAATGGTCATGAATGGCGGTCCGATGCCTTCTCTGATAGCTTTGAGATGGTTTTGGCATATAATGTATTCTATGAAACACATTCATAGCAGAGACGTACATGCAGAGCATTGTATGACAAAATAGTACCCACAAAAACATTAGAAACCATTTTACAACTATCATCATTACATATAAAAAAACTCAAGGTGAAACGTATAGGCTCACTGGTCATTTTGGCTATATTTGTGCTGTAGAACTCTGGTTCCTATCACTAAAATTACAAATAATGTCTGTGTACCTTTTCACATCAAACCACTCTGAATGATTTTGTTTACAGTTTAGTGATTGAATTATGCAGAAATTTGGAAAAATTGGTGGAATTCTGCTTTAAGGGACAAGGAATCAGGGCCACTAACTTAAATGAGGGGCAATCTTGATGTGGCTCTCCATAGTTTACAGAAGCAAGACAAGAGAAAATGAGCGCACATTTCTGCACAGATGTGCTTGATTTATTTCAGAGAGCCAAATTATTATTTAGTACAACTTCTTGAATAGCCGGTAGTCAAGGCTGTATCTCTTCAGGGCTCTCGAACACTCTGGTTATGTCTGGTTTCTTAGCGAGCTGTCTGGCCATTGTGCCTGTGCTGTCCTCTGTATCCATGAGTTCAGGTTGCAACAGGGTCTGAGCTGTGACCTCATGCTGGCCAGTACACACCATGTGTAAAGCTGGGAGATACAGCAGAGAGAATGTTTCAAAGAACAAAGAGTTTATTTTCTAACAAATTGTTGTGAGAATTTCACTAGATGGGACTAAACAATACATTAAATAGTCAACCTTGTTCCTCTTCAATAGTTCATTTGGGCCCTTCAGCAGGGTGAATTAAGAGTGACATAAGGTCAAAAGGGACAGTATAGCTATACAGAGTTTATTGGCTAATGAGTGAAAATAAAACTTTTTTTGGCTGAGTCCTAGCTGTGAAACCGCATAATCAAAATTGAATGCCGTCATTGGTGTGACATCACATAGGTGGGCTGGGCAAGTATCAGACTGGAGGTTGACTCTGCAACACATGAAGTGAAGAAGATGACATTAACGTAGCTAGTTCTCATCATAAGGTCATAAAATAGTCATTGAAAACTTCATTGATAATTGAAAATTATCAGCCTGGCAGTAGAGATCCACTGTGTGCTCTGTATGCTCTATATTAGTGGTTCCCACCCTCTTCATATGTGTGGACACCTAACAAACCACAAAAATGTTCATGAACTAGCTGAATTTTGCTAGCTGTTTTTACCTGGAATAGCCAGCTAACAAAAACAACTAACAAAAACCAACAGATATACTAACCAAGCCAAAAACCAACCTAATATAACACTAGGTTTGGCCTTGACTTGGTCATTTTTGCCTGAATCAAATGAAGTGTTCATTAAACAGTTTGTGGGGGTGGAGGAGAGTTTGTAATGAATTTTGGACCTGAAGCATTTTTTTAAATGTGCGTTCAGATCATTTCTGACTTCAAGCATTTTTGTTTTACCTCAATTAAATGCGTTCAATGAAATTTAGTAGCTGAGAATTAAGGGAGGAAATGGGAAGGAGGAGGTTGTTGTGACAGTGGGGAAAGGCAGCTTTATACTATATGAACTGTGGACTGATTTTTCTTCAGTAATAAAGTTTACCAGAAATTAACATGGAGTCCTAATTCATAATTATGAACATGAAAGGAAAGTGTGCATGTGAAATTATATCAAAGTATGAATTAAATTGTGCAATAAATATGCTTACATTAGCCTAAATCAAGTGTGCTGTCCCAGTTACCCAAAGATCCTGTTCCAATCACCCAAATGTTACAAAAAATAAAGGCTTTGGGTCAGTCCTTTCCAAAAAGGGATGCCACACCTTCTTGGAATACGATTGAACCTCTTTTCCTTCTCAAATGGATAGATAATATCTCCAGTATAGTAAATGTATCATGTGTTGGGCATTTTTTTATGGCAAAAAAGCTTATACAAGGCAGAAATTCAAAAACCCAATCACCCTTAATTCACCCTACATATTTAGTTGCTATCATCTTTGAAGAATGAAAAGAATACAGCTCCCAATTTGGGCAATGCAAGCTCATAAATTTCTTCTTTGATTACATTTACATTTACATTTACAGCATTTAGCAGACGCTCTTATCCAGAGCGACTTACAAAAACTTTGATCTTGGATTAAAATATAAAGATACAGTGTCGCTTCTCAAAATCAAACATGATTATGCTATTATTGAGCGCAAACTGAAACGTTAGCTAGGACTTGATAGGACTTTCTAGAAGGAAGGATTACTCTAGCTTAGTTGGGTTCATTCAAGTACAGCTTCAGAACTCCAGACAAATTTCTTGAATATAGCTGGATGCATGCTAGGTGTAGAGAAAATGGCTATCGAGTAAGAAAAGAAGATGTCTGTTTGATTCTAAAAAAATGGATCCCAGAGGCGTCATGCTCAAAAAAACAAATCATCTGCATAGATGCAATTATTTTTTCAAGGAACCAAACTTCATCTGGCACCTAGGCTCCTACGATAAACTCAAGCATCATGGCATTGCTTTCTTATTGATGTGGAATATTCTGATGTTCTGTAAATCCTGTGAGATGGCCTATGTACACAATAACTTCTAATAGCATTGTAGTTTATTACAGTGTTTGTTTTTAGTCCTATAAATTGTATGATTTTGTTTTTGCCTGGAGTGGACACTACTTTTACTCTGCAGCATGCACACATGCTCTACAGTGCACAAACTTAAATATGGCATTCATCTGTGAATGTTAGTGCACAAATTCTTTGCTGAGTTTTACATATTGAAAAAAAAATAGAATAGAATACAAAATATAGAATATAAAATGTGCCATACACATTTTATGTTTTTTTTTTTTCTCCCAGTATGTTAAATTCAGTAAATAAACAATAATTGTGTATTAAAATGTGCAGATGTGTGTTCTCTGTAGAGGACGTATTAACTAACTTTCACTTAGAAAATCAACAACATAGAAATTGACCGGGGCAAACTTTTGCATAAGACTGTATGTATGTTTTTTGTAACTTAACTGAAGCCATTTAGTTTTATTAAACAGAATGATCAATTTAGAGTATGTCTATGAAAAAAGTCACCAGACAGGACATTTGGAAAAGAGCTACATGTCTATGGAATTTCAAGTACAGCTCCACAAGTATGAGCAACAGGCCTTCAGCTCAAACCAGTTATAAGCAAGCAAGCAATTCCTTATCTTCATCATCCAGTGTGCTTTAAAGTGCCTTTTCACCAGATGACCTCTCACCAGCAGACAAGTAGTTGAAGAAAGAGGACATCAGGACTTCATCTACTTCATCAATGTTGTGTATGCAGGCTGAAATGAAAGCTTTTGAGAGTCACTGGAACTATGCCATGATCACTGTATCATTCAACCCAGATTCTTCCAGCTGCTTGCCATTGTGCTTCAGAGAAATCAGTCATCAATCTCAGCGCCGTGTAAACCTCCCTTGAAACTCCATGGTCATCTAGGGCCCGCTCATTTTTTAATTCCATCTTTAGACCAACTTCTATTATTTTGCTGGCCATAAATATGTCGAAAAGGTCATGCAATACTTTAACCAACCTTATTTGAGCATACCGTTTTTTGTTTTAAATTGGGTGATTCCTCAGGTGGTGGGAGTGTATGAGATTAATTTACTGAAGCCAAAGACTCATCTTTGTCAGTCATTTCTAGATTGTGGTGTATAATATATAAAGAAAGAGGCAATATATTAGTATAATAGTGTAATAGTTCAATAAAACATTACTAATGCCCATTTCACATAGACAATTATTCCTAAATATCCTGAACTAAATATTGCAAGCTCATATGCATCATTTCTGTTCTAAATAGGTGTTCCTTTGCTTTAATAACAGCATCAATTCTGTCAGGTGAGAATTACACCAGTCTCTTGAGATCTCCTTTTCCTTTCTAGCCCACTCTTACACAAACTGGGTGCACATTTCAGCATTTCACATTCGGCGCCTGCGCCGCCAGCCGCCAGCAGAGGGCGACGGCGGCAAGGTGCCATAACTTCAGGGAACTCCAATTCCCAGTGGGTGATTAGGCCCAACCACACACACCTGTGGATTCCTCTACTTAAGGCCATGGCGAACAGCAGCCCTTTGTCACACCTTTGTAGAGGGGTGACTGGTATGGTATGCAGCCTAGGTGGGTATTTAAATGAAAAGAAAAGGAAAGAGGGCTGGAAACAACAAAAGAGAGAAATTGCGGCTGATACAGTCCTACTGATAGTCTTACCAACACCATATTGGTATCACAGCTGTGGTCCCTTGCTAATGATGAATGGGGAATGAGGGGTTGATAAATTGTGCGGAAACAGACAGACTACAGTCTGTAACAACAGTTCACCATCACGGTAGGTGTATTTGATAAAATGGCCAATGAGCGTATAAGGAGTATTTAATGAATTGGTGTATAGACTTGTCATATTGACAACAAAGATGTATACAGTATCAGCATAAAGAAACACAGATCTTGTGCAGACCGGTTTGTCTAAACATGGTAAAATGCTTACAGTATGGAATATTCATCCAGGTCCACTCTTGATTCAGTCTATATTCCCTCCAGTGGATAATTCTACATGAAAATGTTCATGAATCAGGGGTTTGCCCATAAGGTAAAACCTCAAAATGATTTGAGTCTAACGAATTCACTCAACAGCAATTTTATTTCACTCAAGCAACAATCACTACACAGTACTATGCAAAAGTCTTATGAAATTGATATGTAAAGCTATTTATCTGGTCCTTGTTAAACACACTAATTTTAGAATAAATACATTACATTGTGATTTGATAGATGAGTTTGCTAGCTTAACCATTTCCAAAGCTTTCTTCAAGGAAGTCTAGTATTTACAGCTACCATCCAAAACCTAGTTTATCAAATCAATCCTTCAGTATATCAGGTGCTGTTTGATGGAATTGAATAGATCTAATTGTATCCTACTAACAGACTTGTGGAAACTTTTTCAAGGTCCTCCTCTGTGTCTAGACCAAGAAATAATCAAAATAATTTTAGCCCCATGTCCATTCCGTTCTGGCTCCCATCACTTGGGCTCTTGGTAAAAAGCTGTACAATTCTGACCATATTTACTTGCAGAAGCATATTTAGTTGTTAAATGAGTATGCAGTTATTCCATTTGTGACACTGCCCTTATGATAACTCGGCACCTATTCCGAACAACAGTTACACTAAACCTATAAGACAACATATAAAGAGTTAATTTGTGAAAAATGACAAATGCCATCCTTTTTAAGTTAACTGTTGTGAGTTATTCATAACAGCACATTCTGAACCTTAAATACATTTTGTCACAAAAGCCATTATTGTCAAGGCATTTCAAGCTCATGTTTTACAGCAGAAATGATCAATCACCAGCGCTGTTCTCCAGCATAACCTGATAAGTTCGTTTGGCGAAACAGCACGCAGTGTTAGTCAGGTGACACAACACTGCAGCGAACTATTTTCCAAATATATATATTCCTGCAGGCTGGACCAACTCCAAATGTGTCGGTCTTCACTCCAAATGGGTTTGTGTTCTGTTAAATGCTTTGTTAGTAGTTTAAAACAAATGTATACAAACAGACTTAACTCTAGCTGGTCCAGTACTCTATACAACGATTTGTGTTCAACTTCTTTAAAACTCAGTGGT